TATCATGTAAGCCAATAAAAGTCTTTAAAAGGAAACTGGAGAGCACAGATGTGCATTTTCTGCTAAATGAGGGCCAAAAATTCTGGTTGTTCCACAGGATAAAAAATTTCTCTATAGATTGGATAAAGGAATCTATGTATCTTTCCTTACAATTCGTCTTATCCAGGCGCCCAATGTGTACTAATTTGATTTTATAAACCTGGGCTCCATCGATCAAGAGAAAAATAATTTGTTATCTTAAGTCTTTGATTTGATCAATTTGATTCATACTGCATCCTAAATGGCAAAAATTTCTTCGTAATACACGTGTGATGCGGAAATGTGAGTAGAATATTTGCATGACCAGAGATTTCTTTGATCCATATACCGGTTACTTTGAGTCTAACAACTGCAATAACGGCCGGCCGAGCAGTTTCATCAAGCGATGGTAGATGCAAAATCGCGTTTCAGGTGTATGACGCCGTCAGACAAATCGGCGCTCTTTGTATGCAAACTAACCCATACTTAACTCCTAACTTCATTTAACCATCTGAAAAGTAAATTCGTATAAGGTAAATATAGGCCAAAAGCGCTGCCGTCAAAATATTTTGAAACTCCATTTGTCTGGTCTATATGGAGTTTCAAAATGTTTTGACGGCAGCGTCAACTACTGGGTAAATTTTTTTGTAGAAGCATTGCTTATCATGAAATGAATACGCATTTTGAATTTCAACCAGATCATATAATAAACACGTTTTTTCTAAATAACTCGACTCCAGCGCCACTTAGCGGTATTTTTTTGAATTTGAGCCAAATCGGTTCATAAATATGACTTTTGTAAATATACTTATTGTGTATATAAATAGAATGTATATGTATGTATTTAAAAAAATAAGAACAATTAAGTAAAGTGGTGAAAGTGCAAAACGGAAAAACGCTTAAAATATTCTTCTTCTAATTTGGCGCTGTAACCGCCTAAGCGATTTTGGGCGATTGGATGAGAAATGTTAAGTGAAGCCAAGTCTTTCTCCTCTTGATCTTTCCCACGCAGTGGAGGCTTCCCCCCTCCTCTGTTACCAGCATCACGACTCAGAGCTGGAGTGTTTCTCTCCATTCGATCGACCGACATGGCTAAGCCAGCGCAGCTGCCGTATTTTAATCCGCCACCGCCAACGCGTAGAGTCGTGTAAATCTTCCGTAAAATCTTTCTCGCAAATACTCCAATCGCCATATAGCGGAATAAAATTTGTTTCTTCATTTGAAATTACTTGAATAATGAATAAAAATGTATTTTTATTTTTTTTTATTCAGTTTTCAGTAGCCAGTCAATTAAGAAGTGAACTCCTCTCTCTATGTATGAAAACCACAGAGCGGAAAAATTCCGACTTTACATGACCACCCTAATGGGCAATGACAACATCCGCTGGTGACAGCAAAGGAAGTGGAATGCCTTCTCTTGGTATTACCAATTGATCCATTTTTAATTCCATCTGCCACGTCCATATACCTACTTACTTACCTCATTGAGTTCTCGAATGATATTTTTGTGTTTAGTCATTAATAGGAGTAGTTCAAGATGATATCTTAATGCAAGTTAAATAAAAATGTAAAATTTTTAAATAGAAGTTGCCTATAATCTACTCTAAATTCCAACCTACATTCTAAATTATAATCTACTCAAAAGTCCACAGCTACCTATATATATACAAATGCTAATTTTAAATGCGTCAAAACCTACAGTTTTTTTTATCTCTAAACCATAGTTCCAAGCATGTAAACCAAAAGTGTTACTCTGTTGCAGACATTTTAATGCAAGCAGCTTTTGTGGTTCATACTACTTACGTCATTTGCACTTGCGCCATTGTCCGAATTACATATACACTTACCAAGCTTGCCACACATACATTGTACATAGATATGTGGTTTCCATTTTCTCTATGGTTATCCTTTGTTTGGCTATTGTTTACAAATGTTTTGTTTGAAGTGTTGCTGTTGCTGTTCCATTTTGTTGTTGAAAAATGTCACAAGTTCAAAAACATCACTTTATGGTTGAGTTGAATGCGGATGACAAGTGAAAGTACGGAAAAGCAATTCATTAAAAATTATTTTCAAATCGGACTAAAATTACACCCGCTTCCCGTATAACGGTAAATTTCAGAAATACAAAAACTCTGATATTTCAATAATTGCGGACGCCTATGTACTCCAAGTTAATAGTTATAACAATCTTTTAACAATAAATAAGACTGCTAAAGACCTTTAGGAGTTGGGCGTGGCACCGCCCACTTTATGACTATAAAGATAACCACTTTATCGATATCTACCACACTCGGTTCAATTATATTATTAAATCTAGCTCAGCATATTATCGAAAACATTTGAAATCGGGAAAAGCAATTCGGATTATCATGCAAAGGTAGTTTAGCGAAAGTTGAAACCACGATATTTGATACCTGCGCCGGGTATATAGAGTTCGGTTTGGCCGAACTTATATTTCTTTACTTCTTGTTTTTTTTTTCAATTTTATATACATATTTATTTAACATTTCGGCGACTTCCATTTTTATAAGAAAAAGAATGTGTGAACGTAAAATAACAATATGAGTAGTTCGGAAAAATTAATAAACATTAACGGCATTTAAATTGTTATATCTGTTGTTTTGATCGGCTTCCGGACTCCTTCCAAATTTGCATTCAAAGTTGATTTTTCAAAATTTTCGAATTATGAATCAATAACGTTGGAAAGAAATCAACGTAATGAAATTTCGTATGGCAAAATCTTACTTTTTGATATGTAAGATGAAAAGTACTACTTTTACAATTTGCCCAATTAATTTTTATTTTTTCCCTATACAAAAGGGGTCCAGACTAATATTTGCAAATATTTTTTTTTATAAATTAGTATCGTACTTCAATTGACGTGAAACTGCAATGGGTGATAATTTAATTTGCCAACTTTTAAACAATAAATTAAAATGGTATAATGCGGACACTTAAATTTATCTTTAATTGTCAATTCGCTATTCAATTAACTCTTCCTAATAACTACCATAAAATACGAGCTTAAATTATTGTTGATGGCCATTTAGCCCAGATATGTACCTATGTGTGTACATATGTACCTATGTGTGAACATATATGTACATACATACATGCGTATGTGCATATGTATTACCACCACACGACCAAGGCTTGAGCACCACTTACTCGATTATGGCGAAAATAAAACTTTTTCACATTCATTTTATCCCACTTTTGCTATGATGTAAAAAACAGAAACAATGCATAAACTCATTTCAAGGATAATTTGGTTAGTTCAAAATCGTTCGGCTTCCGTTCGCAGAATTAAGTGTGCAAGCGTTGCGGCGTGTCCTTAACACACTTTACTGTCGACTTGGCTATATACAGAGAAGGATATGGACTCATTGCTAAAACACAATTGGAATATACAGTTAAAGAAGTAGTAAGGCAA